TGTCCATCAAAATTTCGAATCCATCCTGAATTTGGAGGTCAATACCTGATGTAGATGGTAAATCATCTTCATCTTTTGGTGTTACGATTTCGACTTCTTCATCGGCGAAGTATACTGGAATACTGTCAATATCAAACAGTTCGTTAGAGTCATCGAGCAGTTCATTATCAGACATGTCGAGGGGAACATTGTTACCTTCTGAAAGGGCATCTTCTTCATCTGAACCTAGCTGAAAGTCGTCCTCACTTTCCGATAAATTGGCAATTGCATCCTCTAATTCCTGCTGAGTCAGTGGCCTGTGTTTCCCCGACTTTTTCTAAGAAGACATTGTACCTGATAAAACTGGAAAAGGAAATTTTATATGTTTTTACCACTTTTATTTGCAACCAACGTTACTGCAGTTTCGTCCTATAAGGACATTTTCAAACGTATACTGTAAACTAAAACTGATTGATTTCATTACACCTTATATACTACTGTATGCAAGTGTACCTGCCTTAATTGAATAGCTACCAGATTTTGTCTAACTACAGGTACCTACTAATTTATTAATAATTATTGTTTACTTCTATGTTGCATATGTGCATCATTCTGTTTGTGATGTTAATTTGTATATATAGTCAATCGGCAAAATGGTGCATATATGCACCATAAATTAAAAACAGTTTTACAGATTTACTACAATTCGGTGATTAGAAGTTAATTGCAAATGAAATAAATAAATATATTTCTTACATGATAATAAATTTTTCCACAAAAAATACTATAAATTTCAATGGTTTTACTACAATTCAAACTATGAGTCTTTCATGTTTGAGAGCACAACCGCTCTTACTGGCGACTGAGAGAGAAATGGCGGCTAAAAATAATTTGCATTGCTGACACCGCTTGACATAATGTATACGATATGTTGCAAGTATGCACCAAAGCGTCTATCGTTATTTTAAACTCTCAATGGAGTTTTAAATGTGATATCTATTTGATGTTGTAAATATACATCGACATGCAGTAAAGGATGAACAGTATTCAAGTCTGAGTTGTAAGAGTTACCTTCTGTTAGATTGAATATCATAATATTGTTCATTCTTTTTTGTCTCTCGTATATTAGGTGGTCGATAATCAGATCGAAGTAAGTTAATCATTCGTATGAAAGAATGACTTTCAATATTTCCAAAGCCTATATTTGTAACAAAGAAATACTCCGCTATAGCTTCATTCAGTTTGTTAATTTCTTTTTCTGATGTTTCCAAGACAAATTTTGATAAATCTTCCATTTTTATTCTTTTTTCATTGGGATATTCTGATATAATAGAAGATCTATTTTCTTGTAGAGTGCCTGATAATCACCTGCAAAGAAAAGAACTTGAATATATCAATCAGTCAATTCTATATTCAGTATCAGAAAAAATCCTTTGCCTTGGGATGTTAGGAATATGCTGCCAGCGGTACAAAACACTAACCAAATTAGCATATTGAATATTTACAAATAACAAATGTATGCACATGCCACTTCCCAATACAATACAGGCATAACACATACATTTCTTGGAGACTATCGATGGTGAAGGCAACTGTGAATCAGAATCCGAACTGGAACTACCAATACTATCATTTGGAGTCGTCTTGTTTTTTATCCCAGAGCACACTGATGAATGTTTTCGAATTCTTTCGATATTTGGGCTTAGTTTGGTATTACAAAATTTGCAGGTCACCATGCCATTTTCCCTAATGACATATTCTCATTCCCGTGAGAACTTCCTACCGCCTTTGTTCACGGTTTTTTAAAATGTAATAATTGCATTTACAAAACAACAAAAAAGTCGACAACGTTTTCGTGGGTTATTTGTTTATGCTGCTCATAATGCAAATTCTGGTATGTGAATGGAAAACATTTTTTATAATTTTCTGTAACGAACAAAATTGTTATGTGTACTATTTAATCTCCTCAATATTAGATGTCGTCACTGTAGGATATATGTATCTGGCATATCCTTTGAGATGGGTTCTATGCCCGGTTATAACTGTTTGTGTCCGATTATAACCAGTGGGTCGGGTTTTTGTTTAAAATCCCGGGTTTTTGCCAGCCCTGGAAGCAATACGAAGAAAACGTCCAGTATTTTGGAAAAATGATTCATAGCTTCTGCATTACGATAAGGCACCTGCTCACTCGTTATTGCTTATTCGTAATTTATTGGCCCAAAAACAACACCGTTATCATGCCTCAGCCATGGTATTCACCAGATTTGCCCCCCTGTGACTTTCCTGGTAACAAGATTGAAGGACGGCGTTTTGCGACGATTGAGGACATGAAAACCGAATCACTGAGAGAGCTCAAGGATATACCCAAGAGGTGCATATCCAAGAGGTGCTTCGAGGATTGGAAAAAACGCTGGCACATTTGTATTATGTCGAAGGGGATAAAATAGAAATTGATGAATAGATAAATAATTTTTGAAAAAAATGAAAATTTGCCTTATTTTTTTTAAAAGACCGCGTACAACTTAGATTAATTATGCTATTCCTCCCTCCTCCCATATTAGTCTAGTTCACATGTACTTTTTTTTGTAACATTTTTCAGCTCTGTCCAAAAATTACGACCAAGGTGTCATTCGATTCGTATTTTTGCCTAGAAAATTTAAGGAGAGGTCCGAAAACGCGCCGATAAAAATTACAAAAGTTATAAACAATAAAGTGAAAAAAAATGGGACTTTAGTTTTTTCTTAATATCTCGGANTCTAGCCTACTAGGTATAAACAATTAAAAAAAGAATAAAAAAAAGAGTTTTTTCAAAACCTTAAAGAACAATAGAATTTATGATTAAAAAAAATACGGTTCCTTAATTTTAATATTTAGTTGCAAAAAACGATTGTTAATTAACAAACGCATTTTTAGCAACAAAGTGCATCGACTTTAGGTCGATGATGGTCACTATCTTGCACTGACGAGTGGCTAATGAGCCAGAAACCGGTCTGCAAGTGTGCCTGTTTCAAAATTGAAGGTCGACTCTTTCAGTTGTATTGCCAATTACATATGCAAGACATTTTCTGTGAAGATGCCTGCACTGACCCCTGTCGGATATAATCTAACGCCCTTCGTGGTATTAGCCAGGGGAGTAGTTGTTTTCTGATAGGCGCCAGTCCATTCAACCTACTGTGTAAGTATATCGAGACTGGCTTGAACGTTTAAATCATTTCTTTAGATTTGTTTATTGCTAGTCTTCAAGCATAGCCCACTGACTAATAAGAAAGTTTTTCTTCCTTATTCAGAGGAATCGGACAAATAACGGATATGCAGTTGGTTAGTACCTCGTCCGCTAGATGGAGTGACATTTTGTGATGTTCGCTCCAACTTCGGAAGAGGAATGAAATACTCTGCAAGAATTCCGATTTTCAATTATGGAATATCATTGACTTTAGGTCAATGATGGTCACTATCTTGCACTGACGAGTGGCTAATGTGCTCGAAACCGGTCTGCAAGTGTGCCCGTTACAAAATTGATGGTCGACTCAGTTGTATTACCAATTACATATGCAGGACATTTTCTGTGAAGACTCCTGCACTGAGGCCTGTCGGATATAATCCAACACCCTTCGTGGTATTAGCCAGGGAAGTAGTTGTTTTCTGATAGGCGTCAGTCCATTCAACCTACTGTGTAGATATATCGAGACTGGATTGAATGTTTAAATTTCATTTCTTTAGTTTTGCAGAATTCTTCAACTGTTTCATTTCCGATCATACTGTTTTCTAATTTTCTTTGATTTTTTCTTGTTTTTCATTTTCAGTTTTTGCTTTTATGCCATTGTGTCATTATGACATGACATTTCATTTTTTTCCAATGAAACATCTATCTGTGTTGTTAGGACGAAAGATTTCTCGCAGCTGCATATTGTGATTGTTTCTAAATTAAAAAATTTATTTCCAACAATCTGCCACCATTTGTAAGTAGAAATACTGTTTATCATGTCATTCTTGAAAATTATAGATGGATATGTAGTGTCATATTTTGATCTGAAAGATAAAACATGTATGTGTTTAGGATCCATTGTGTAAGCCAAATAATGATATGGAGTACTTGCTTGTTCAAACTTTTTTTTGATTATATTGTGGTAAGGTTCTAAGACTTCATCATTTAGGAGACCAAGCGAAATAAGTAATGCTTCAGACAACGTTTCTGAGTCACTTTGCAGTTTATCAAGAGCAAAATCTATAGACGACTTGTTTTTGTAAATCAATTGCGTTTGTATATATGCTCATATTTAATAATTTTATTGATTTTAATTCTGCATCATGAGTTTCAAAATGGTTTTCATTATCGCTACAGAAAGCAAATACATCTTTGTTGAATTTTTCTTTGCATTTCTTCATATTTTCTTCTGCTGCTTTGAAACAAAATTCTGCTGTTTTCTATTTGGCCTCACAGTCCTGAGCTGACAGTAAAAGTTATTCTTTTCCAGTGTGTATTGTGGTGGCAATAATTGGATCATTCAACACACTAAACCAACCATCCTGAAGCAGTGTGATAGATATATTGACTCCAGTGAAGTTGTCGCGTGATAATTCTGATGTTATTTGTTTATCGACTTAGATATTTGATCTAATAATTTGCCAAAATTTTTATATCATTTATTTATTTGTTTACGGCAATGCCTATTTTTTACAAGATAATTAACAAGTTCACACATATGCATTCAACAGTAATCTAAGCTAGGTTTGAGGGAAGAATATATAAAAAAAATAAAAAAAATCGTAAAAATAATGAATTATAATCTTTTCACAGTCTTTTTAAATGTTTCCAAAGAATAATTGAAAAATTCTAAATCTACATTGAATGTATTTGCAAGTCTCAAAATTCTCAGATTCATTCCGGCCATAGTTGGTGCGACAAAAGGGTACTTTGAAGATTTCCGAATTTCTTGTTCTCCTTGGATTCACATTTAAAGTTATAAGTTCGACAAGTTCCGGGGAATTGATGCTACCATTGATTNAGCTGCACATTTATGTTTTGGTTTATTGAGACAAGGTACCGGCAAAAGAGGACGTGAAGGTTTCTCGATTCCCCTATGACCAATGTAAGACTCACCTCTGAGCCTTTTAACCTTCCTTACATTTTTCTTCCATAATTTCTCGTTTCTCTTTTTTTAGTAGATACCTTTTCACGGTCAGGAAAATCCTCAACATCACTTTCCCATGAGCTCTCATTTTCTATATCTGACGAACCTGAAGGTTCATAGAGATCCGAAGAAGATCTAGAAACATACGAGTAATCTTCTTCCAGTGTTCCTGGTAAAGCTGGAGGCAGATCATCAGGTTGGACAACCAGGCGAGATGTTGACGGGTACTGATTTAATTCACTGCATTGTTGCTGTGTATCTGGATGCTCGATGGTGTTTGTTGAGGACAGTTCGTTACGCATAGTATCATCTGAAAACAGAAAAAGAAAATACTAAGAAACATAACCTAAAAGCTTGTTACAAAAAGTGAAGATTTTCGACTATAAATCCTATTATTTTCTTTTCATTTAACAATTAATATTTTCTTACCTTGAGCTTGTAATTTTTGGCAATTTCTCATTATTCTTGCTATTCGGGAACTCATATTTTACCTAGATCACTATAATCACGAATATCTTAAAGCACAATTGTTTACACTGCCAAAATAACGAATGTGGCACATTCGTGAATTTGGATCTAAATGGTAAAATAATTTGCAACGGCAAAAGCACAAACGTGGTACATTCGTCTTTTCGTTATTGCAGCAAATCTCCACCTGACGCTTTCGTGGAATACGTCCCAACTAAAAGGGAGAGAGGGGATGAGCAAATACTTTCGCGCTTTTGGCATTGCTACTATGAATTAAATTCCGACATTTTGCTGCACATAGGTGGAAATGTGCAAATTGGCATATTCGTGACTTTGGCATTGGACCGACGATATCAGTTCTCATTGTTATTTGAATTTTCCTAGTTCCATGAAATTACTATACAAAGTCTGTTAAAAAAAAAGGTTAATGTTCAAATTTCTCGGGCTACGTACATTGGTTTTACGTTTTTTTTTTTATGTTGGTACACGTGTCCCGAACATGTGTTCACAGTTTCAGTTGTTTGAAATGTTTAGTTTGTTGGTGAGAGGCATGAAATTTAGAAGTGTTTTTCGTGTTCGACGATTTTTTGCCATCGAAAAAAATGGATCAAATTTTGTGTAAAAAA